TATATTTATAGATATATATAGATATATATATATACATACATACATATAAGTATATATATATAACTTACTTGTCCCGATAGACTGGTACCAGACGCGCGGAAGGTGACTGGCAGATTATACTTTAGGGCTTCACGCAGCACAAATGAAACCTCATCCTCACTTTTACTAAGTACAACGATCTGTGGATTGAGACGATAGAACGAAGCATCTGTTCCATATGCGTATACTCTGGCTTCATCTGTTATCAGACGTCGTTTGTCGATTTTAGTCTCGAGGATTGTCTTGAAGAGAGCGTATTCGGGCTTGATGGTGTGTGCATCAACATCAGAAAGACCTATGGTAGATTCTTCAGCCACCGTTACCTCCGGTGTATGGTACACATCCTGTACGGTGTAAACACTCATGTTATTGCTATCACGCTTGCATAAACTCAGTATTAGTTAAAGGTAGGGTCCAGACGATGTGTGGGGATTCGTCAACCTTTTAGAAATGCTCAATCCTTCCCACAAACAAACTGTTTTACGCGAATCAGACCAGACACTGCTGATGCTTAAATGGCAGGTATGCCGTCGAGGTAGTGCTAGTAAAGGCGGCGGGAACCACACAAGCAAGTGCTTAATGAATGCGACAGTTGTCGTATGATTCTTCCAATATATCGACCTAAATCATTGACTCCCCAGTCCTCGGTCCTCAGTCCTCACTCCCAAGTCTCATGTCCCGTGACGGACACATACGTAATCTTAGTGATCTTAATTTTGTCATTCAGTTCAACTCTGTTCAAGGAACTTCAAGCCAAAGAACTTTTCGAAGCCAGAAAATGCCCAAATCAGGCAGGTTTAAAAATATTTGGAAACATCATTGGTTCCCATATCTTTGGCGCTTATTTTAGCCGACTCGGCGACTCCAGTACTCCAGGATTCCTCATTCCAAGCTGTATTTATCAAATTATCTGATATCTCATTCTCAGGAATTCTGATTAAGGGAATCAGCTGGGGTTCCGGCCCCGGACGGCCCAGGTTCCCGTTCGTAACTTCGTGCCGTTCAGTGATATTTTCTATTTTATTATTGGCTAAAACGATTGACTCATAAATTCATGGCCCTCTGGCCTCTGGCCTCTGGTGACTGGTCTACGCTGGATTTAAAAATAGGATTTCAGTATGAATTGAAGAGTCTCGACGACTCTCTGATCAGTGATCATTGATGACTATGAGTGATGAGTCTCGAGTCTCGACTGTCGAGCGATAAATCAGTTTCAAGTTTACGTATAAAAAACAGCAGACGCGGCAGCATCTACACGCTCTGTATGAAGGATGATATTGCAGTTACCTTCTCACAGTTATACAAAGTGAATTCTGCACACATGTATAAATCAATAACACGAATCTGTATATATCTCGTTAGGGTTTAGGTTAGCTCAGTAATGTTTCCCAAGAGACCCGATACTTGATTATGTTTTCGGTTTAACATCAATT